GGCCAGTCTGAGTTACAAGGCAAGACCTGTTTCAAAAAACAGAACAAAATGAAAAAGAAGAGGAAGTGGAGAGGGAGGAGATATTATATGTTTCTAAATTGGAATATAAATTTATTTTGAAGCTTTGTTTTGTATTTTAATACTTCTGCAATCAGTGTGTTTCTTAACAGTTGATGCTAAGCCATAGCTTAATTGTTTTTTCCTTTCTTAATGGTTATTCTGACACCATCTCATTTACTGCAGTGTACCTCTTTTCTATTTTTGGCAGTACTGGGGATCGAACTCAGGGCCTTGAGCTTGTGAGGCAGGCGCAGTGCTATTGAGCTAAATTACCCAGCCCACACTGCAGTGTACTTCTGACCCTGATCACCTGGGTTAGTGCTGATTTCACAAATTAAAGGACATAGTCCCAGATAAGACTGACCTTTTAGATTTCAGGAGCTCTTCAGGATTCCCCAGGCCTCCCACACTTCTTAAGAGCTGGCTACAAATTTGGAAGTTCTTATCACCCTTTTAGGTTCAGTAATTCACTGGAAAAATGCACAAAGCTCAGGAAAGTGCTGTGATTACAGTTTTAATATAAAGGATATAATCAGAACCAGCCACCTGAAGAGAAACAGGGCAAAGTTTGGAGTGCTTCCAATGCCTTCTCCCCAGGGAATCTTGGGCTGCCACCATCCTGGAAGCTCTGGAGAGCTACAGCTAACACCAGAGGTTTATTACAAATGCATGACCAGTTGAATCATTGGCTGTGTGACTGAATTAAGCCTTTAGCCTTCTCATCTTCACCTAGAGTGGATCAAAGCTCCAACCCTCCAGTCTTTGGTTGGTCTTTCTAGTGATCAGCCTTCATCCTGAGTCACCTTCACTAACATTAATTCAGGGGTGACTCATGGTTCCTGTGGAAAAGCAAGACACTTTTGTTACTAAGGATTAAGAGTCTGCCTCCTGGGAATCAGGGCCCAAAGCCAGTCATATTATTTTATTTCTTTTTTCTTTTAAAAATAATTTGAGAGAGGATCTCACCAGTTATTCAGGCTGGCCTTGGTCCTGCTTCAGCTCCTGAGTAGCTGAGATTACAGGCATGTGCCACCACACCCAGCTATACTTTTTGTTATATGGTAGGGTGGTGCATAAAAAATGGTACATTAGATGTAATGAAATGTGATAATTTAGAAACAACCTTTTAGATGTCCTGATATGAGTAAAGTGACATTTGTAGTCATTTGAACTGTTTTGCATAAATTATTTTAGCAAGACAAAATATGGTTTGCCTAAAGAAGATTAGCATTTTTTCCATAGCCCTAGCATATTCTCTCTTTAAAGTTTTAATACATTGTGTATTTTATGGGATACAATGTATCAACATGGATAAACCTAGGGAACATTATGTTAAAAGTAATCCCAGCACTTAGGAGGCTGAGGCAGGAGGGTTACCATCTGTGAGTTTAAGGCCGGCCTGAACTATGTAATGAGACCTGAAGATTAGCATTTTGTTGTTGCAGTGCTGGGAGTCAAATTTAGGAATGCTTTATACCTGAGCTATATCCCCAGCCCTTTTTAAATTTTTTATTCTGAGACAGGTTCTCTCTCACTAAATTGTTAAGGCTGGGCCCAAATATAAGATTCTTCTACCTTCAGACTCCTGAGTAGCTGAGATTACAAGCATGTTGTCTGCTTTATGAAATTGATACATGTTTAAACCCTGATGTAGTTTTTAGTATTGGTGCATTGGTTGGCTGGTTTAATGAGAAATTATCATATGGCAGTATTCAGATTTAAATGGATTACAGTAGTCTTGTCACACTAAAGCAGTAGTGGAGAGGCTGGGGATTTAGCTCAGTGGTTCTGCTGTGTGCCTTGATAGTGCAGTATACAGAGTTTGATCCCCAGTACCCCCCAAAAAAAGTAGTGGAAATAACTCAATTTTTTGAGGGGGGTACCAGGGATCAAACTCGGGACCTTATGTTTGCGAGGCAGGTGACAGAACCACTGAGCCAAATCCCCAGCCAATTCAAATGTTGAATACACCTGTTTGTTGCCAGCATTACTCTCTCCTGCAGCTGTTTTGCAATATATAATTTCTTTTTGATTTGTGAGAGATTTAACAAATAATCACCAGCTTGCTAAACTTTTGGAACTTTGAAACAAAACATTGAGCTTATTATTGTGTATCCCTTCCACATACTCTACTATCTTAAGCCCATGAGTTTAGTGAGTAAATGGAAGTTTTTCTCTTTTCTTTTCTTTTTTTTTTTTTTGGT